ATTACTTTCCTTGAACTTTCAAAGTGCTTTCTTGGAACCTCCTTTGAATTTACTGGGGAAAAAAAAGATTCTGGGTACTTTTCAGAAACTACCAGGTTCATTTTGGGATTTAGACAGTTTACTTTCTGAAACTTACAAGATTTCTTCCTGGAATGTCCATCGAAATTCCAAAGTACTGGATTTCCCCACTTACTTCTTGAAACTTTGGTTACTTTACTAAAGTTCTAGAAAGTTTCTGTTAAGTTTAGGAAAATAATGTTTAGGTACTGGGAAAGGGTTTCTGAGTTCTTGGAAAGTATGTGATGTATTATGTAGTATTAAAACTACTAATGCATGACTGTTAATTTATATTAATTTTGAAACGTTTTAAAGCTGTTGTTCTCAGCTGATTAGAGGGAAAAGTGGGACTAAGGCAGTAGCGAAAGTTCAATCACAATTTGTTTTATGTAACCACTGGCTGTTTAACATGTAAGAAAAGATTACAGAGAAACAGAAAGTTTCTTTATAGTTTTGGATTTTTTTTTTAATGCTTTGCTTACTTTATTCCCCTGGTGGGCAGCGTCATGTATATACAGTATAAGCACCAGGCAATGTATGTAGCAAATGTAACAGATTTTGAGCCACTTACAGAAGTTAAAATTCTCAGCTTCAATATTCAGACGCAGAAAGTGCAGTCTTTCTGGTAAAATCCTCTTTTGTTAGTGCATTATGATTTTTGCCTTAATCATGAAATGGATTATATTCCACGAAAGTATTTAAACTTATTTGTTCTACAATTTGCCAATGAAATAAACTGACTGCATACAATATAATGTACAGACTGATGCATTTCCTAACATGCAATGTGTTCAAAGACACATCCCTAGAAATGTATTATCTTTATGATTGTTAAAAGCTATAATTACTCTCCTGTCTACGCCACTTTGAAACAAATGTTTAAGGCAACATTAGTGTACTACATTCTATTCCAACGTGTTAGCAGGAGCTACACAGTAGTATTGTTGTGCTTCTTGAAATATTTATATGTATTTTTTACAGGCTTTATATAGAGAGACACCTAAAGCTTAAGTGGCAGGCATGTACCACTTTTATGTGTTCAGATCAAATCTATATATATATATATATATACAGAATGGTATGTGCATTGTATTTAAACCCTACCTTTGCACCCTTCAATCCGCATCCTCCAACAGGAACACCAGATGTTTGCAGTGAGCAATACCCAGTGACATGAGAATTATCTTTCAGTCTATTTCAACAGCTTGAGTAGTATTTCCAGTTTTGTATAAAAGTGTACTCTGTCCTGATTACCTCTTGTTAATAAATCTGTTTTTTCTCAGGGGGCGAAATGTCTCTGGGCTTCTGTTTGTGCTTTTAAATTTGACCTCGACATTTGAACTGAACAATAATGTTTTGCTTTAGTACACTCACTGGGGGAGTTTGAAAATAGGGTCTATATACTGGAAGCTGGTTTGAGTTTGCATTGTGGTTATTTATCTACAATTAACATAGTTAAAGACAAAATTTGTTACCTTTAAAATGACTGCAGCAGGGAAATGTGCATACAAAAGTGTTTATACTACAAACATTTTATTGTGACTATAACAATTTGTCATTTTACACCCATAAACTGTAACGTTTATTGGTATAATATGCGATAGCAGAGACGACTAACTTTCTGTCACACAATTAAAAAGCATTAAAGGCCTAAGATCCAAAATTGATCATTCTTTGATAAGTCAATATGTTTGTTGGGAACATTCCTTTTTGTTATTCAATAAGACAGACTCCTAGAAATGGTACACTTTTCTCTTTCACCTGGATGATGTATATTAATGTATTATTGTATTTTACTCATTTCCTCTGTAATAATGTTTGATATTGTGTCACATTTTTAGCTGTTGTAATCTCAGACTTAGAAAAACAATCTATGTATTATTTGAGTTAATTTCATATCAGAGAGTGAAAAAAAAATATTTCTGAGGAAATTAATGTAAAATAATAATAAAAGTACCCCCACTGTTAATCAATGTTGTACAAACCCCATTTCACTTTAGGACAGTTCTTAGCTACAAAAAAATAAATAAAAAATTTCAAAAGATTGTATCATTCGAAGACATTTTTCCACAATATGTTTTTATTGTGTAGTGTCTCTTACATATACTTTTTCACATTTCAGAGGATTTTTAAATTCATGTTTAATTGAAATTGTGGAGTGTAAGTTAATTTTGGCAGAGAAAGTCTATTGATAAATGCCTACTAACTGTCCCATTGCTAGCTAATTAAGACTTCATTAAAAGGACACTGAAAAAACAGTATCTCAGCGCTTAACAGAACAAACAAAACTGACAGCGAGATTTAGGCCGAGTCTTCTTCACCCTCCTCATCATATTCTCCCTCCCCAGCAGTGAAATCCTGTTGCTGCTGGTCAAACACCTAATCATTCATTCTCCACTTCAGTGAACTCCATCTCATCCATACCCTCACCAGCGTATCGTCGGATGAAAACTTTGTGCCTGAACATAGCACTGAACGTCTCAGAGATATGCTTGAACAGCTCTTGGAAGGCCACACTGTTGCCAATAAATGTGGCGGCCATCTTGAGCACGAGAAAAGGAATGCCACGACTTCAGTCTTGATGTTGTCTGGGATTCAGACAAGAAACACAGTCCCTTGAGTTGCTGTTGTCTTTCTCAGTGCCATTCAACACCAGCTGAACAGTGCACTCACCTCGAAGTTTGGGATGAACTTTGACAGGTTCTGCACCATACTGGAAAACCTTATCAGTAATGCTTTATCCTGTGGGTTTTGGCATTTCTGTAATAGTTATGACCTTTTCTTTGTCTAGTTTTGGGCCTTCTATGCTGAGAGTATGACCAGTATACTGAATTTAAGCTATTCCAGTCTTGAATTTGTCTTTGTTAAGCTTGAGGTTGATGGTTCTTATCCTAAGAGCTGTCTCATTCTTTTGCCATGTTGTTTTCTGTCTTTTTCCCACTACAGAATATTGTCCATGATGTTCACAACTCCTTTGAGTTCCTCAGGTCTTTGAGCAATGCACTTCTGAAAAATGTAGTTACTAATGAGATTCCAAAAGGCAGTGTTTTTGAGTCTGCATTGACCAGTGTTAAATGTGCAGAATTCAGAAATCTCTTCACAGTTGAATTTGCCAAAATCCATCGTTTGGGTCCAACACTGAAAAGCTCCTTTCATTTTGCATCTTTACAATGATGTATTTCACTGCTCAAAATGGGAGGTCTTACTTCTATGTCTTTCAAAGGGAATAAATAGAAATCCCTTTGTTTTTGTCTTTTGTAATGCCACCACACTGTTAATTCAGTCAGGCTCTGTTTGTTTTTTTTAACAAGTGCCTCCATTATTTCCTATTCAGCTTTGATGTTTTTCTTAATGCTAAATGCTTTCATGGGTGGATGCACTACTGGAGTAACTGTGCGATCAATCTGAATGTGATGTCTTCCCAGTACACAGCCTAATCCCAAAAACACATCTAGTTACTCTTGCAGGACATTTGTTTCTCCTTTAAAGTTCACTTTAAATATTCTCTCTATCAGTCCATAAGTATACATGAATTTCCTCCCAATATAGCAGGTAGGCTGGCTTCTATCATCTGAAAGTCCAACTCATGTTCATTACTGTTGCAGTGACATTTCAACTTTACAATGTGCAATAGCACCATCTTGTGACAAGACTATGTCAGAAACCTAAAGCTAGATGATACATTATCTTTAGTTTCTTTTATCAAAATTGTACCAGGGAGAACATTGCGGTCTGTCCTAGTAGCAAATCTGAAGATTAAATATATTGGGGAAACATACAGGAAGATGTGCAAAAAATATAGCAGGTCAGATATAGCAGATTCCTCAGTAATGATGAGTGCGGACCTGCTGAGAGGTTTTGGAGTGCAGGAGTCGCTTCTGAATACCTTTTTTTGATTCGGTGGTGGCATTTGTCATATTTTATGATTTAGTAAGTAAATTGAAGTAGCAGCCTATCCACAGGTGAGAGGAAACGGTTAGATGAGCTAATCAGGAAGACCGTCTCTGTCATATGATGCCGCCTTAATCTATTGCAGGTGGTGAAAGACAGAAGAACTCTTGATAAAGTACTGAATGTCTTCCACTTCATCCATAAATTTGTTACAGAACTGGAGAGCTCCATCAGATAGTTTCAGCATGTTTTCTTTTTCTTTTTTTTTCACTTAATGTAAACAGTCTGTTGTTTTGAACTTTTATGGTACTAATCCCAGCCAGCATGCCTAGGTGGGCCCCATGTGGGGACAAGGAGGGCAGACTATATGGGTCCCATATGGGTTTGTCCGCAGGTTCCACGATGGCCCCACATGGGTTTGCCCATGTAGGGCCAGAGCCCACATGGGCCCTGCATGGGCCCTATATGGTGGTGGCCCACATGGGTTTTGTCCAATTAGGGCCCATGTAGCACCCATGTGGGCTGTGGCCCTACATGGGCAAACCCATGTGGGGCCATCGTGGAACCCGCGGAAAAACCCATATGGGACCCATATAGTCTGCCCTCCTTGTCCCCACATGGGTCCCACCTAGGCATGCTGGCTGGGAATGACTTTGTATACAGCTTTCTAAATGACTGCACAATATTATTTTTCTTGTATATTTGTCCTAACTGCATTCTATTCTTCTTCTTTTTGTTTCACTGTTTTGTGAATATGGACGCTCCCACTGACGTTATATTAACTTGGTGCTGTGACTCTGGAATTTCTCCACTGTGGGACAATAAAGGATATTTCCATTCCATGCAAAAGTCTAATAGTCCCAGAAGAACACAAGAACAGAACTAATAAAAAGCCTTTTAAGAAAGTTTCTGTAGATGTGTGGTATTAGATTGTTGTTTTTTTTTTCGAGTTATTCGATGTTAACTAGATTTCAGAATATAGTGTTTCTTTGTAGCTTGCATGCGCTGATTCCTATTCTTAACCGGTAGGTGGTGGTATTGCATCAAATTGTTGTTTGCTAACACGGCCATTGCAAAGCAAGAAGAAGCAGGCTCCTCCTCCTCCTTCTCCTCCTCCTCCTCTTGTTGCACAAGAGAAATGGGAGGGATTTGTTACAAAACTTATACACCGTGTGGCGGCAAACAGTTTGCGCCTCCGTCTAGTGTGAATGTTAAAGTCCACAGCTGTGCAATCAGCTTTAACAGCTGGGATTTATTCACCCAATTTACTGAGTGTAAGGACATGTCTACCAGACAAACAAAACGTGAAGCTACTATGAAGGTACAGTAACTGTCTGTTTCTCTTTCTTTGTGACTCTTTTTATGTGATGAACTTTTGTGTAACACGTTTCTCTGCTCACCGGTGAACAGTACTTGACTCCAGATACCAATGCAACAGTCCGACGGTCATCTCGGAGGGCTGTCGCCCCTAAACGGCTCGACTTTTCTCCAGACATGGCAGATGAAACGGTGGCGAAAAAAGTAAGTTCAGGCAGGGAATGGTTTAGTCAGTTATGTTGGAAATCTGTTCGGTAATAGGTCCGCATTTTGTCTCGATAGAAAGCAAAAACCAAAAAGGAAATGCCAGAGAAGAAGAGGATAAAGGACGAAGATGAATTGGACCAGACGGTAAGTACACCAAACTTTTTACGTTCATATCAGATGTAATGGGGGACGTATATTCTGTGTGTGAATGTGTGGATGATGTCAATATGGTGTCTTTGCATAACAGAATGATGGAGGGCTGTCTGCATACGAACTGGAGCGCCTTGAGAACATCAAGAAGAACCAGGCTTTTCTGTCCTCCATCAACTTACTCCAGGTAGATCGACTGGTTTGTTGCTGTCTTGTGATAACATTTCCTCTGTTAAATCATGACTTTCACAAGCAAGCTACTGAGTAATAAAAAAGATAAATTTTGAATTTTAAACCTCAAGTGCATCTAAGCCAGATGAAACATGATGCATTACTTTTGAATTCATATCGGTAGTTAAAATGCATAAAATAAAAGGTATTCTTATAGCAAAATAAAGGCAGTTATTGTTGGTAAATATGCAACTCTGGTCCAACATGTCTTTAATATTGAACCCCTGAATCGAGGTGCTTTTCATCTACTTTTATTGAAGATGTCAACAACTTGCCTGCAGCTTTATTTCAGATTCGTTTCACTGTGACAGTTGTAGAGATTGTTCCAGATGTTCTTTTTGACTAGAAATAAAACTGGTGTTTTCTTTTTTCATAAGGCCAGAGAGGATTTGCATCAGACCACACGACCAAAGCCATCGCAGCGAGGTTTGAGGTATGGTCAGCTAAAACTCTGACTGCTCATTTCAGAATTCAACTTTAAATTATTTTCTGGTTGAAAGAAACTTGGGTAAATTTTGGTTTAGTCAGCAATGGTTGCTAAAATGCAAACTTTGTTAAATGGCAGTTTGTCAAAGTTTCATGGCTTTCCAAAGTACTATTCATTTATTTATTTTTTTTTTATGTAAAAATATTCTCTGGCAAGCTTTTGCATTACGTTTTACCAGTCCTAGCTCTTTTTCTTTGTCTCTTATTTTTTTTTACATTTTTAATTTTAACATTTATTTGCAGGCCTCAGTCAGCTGTTAAGGAGGCACTTCCCCCTCGTAAATCCCTACGCCTTCAGAATAAACCAGCAGAGAAGTTGACTCTTCCCAAAGAACCTATTGATTCGCTTCACCCTGATCTGGTATCATGTAATAAATGTTTACTACTGAAATCCCTTCAGTAGTTGTGTATTGCATTCTGGATTTTCTCTTACTTATTTAGTTTTTTCTTCTTCTTCTTCCACTAAAGGCCAGGATATTAAAGAAGCCCAGTGGCGCTCTTCACATGAATCCCATAAATCAGGAAGGGGGTTTCAAGCTGCCACCAGAGCTTCGACAGCTCTGCTCGGAGGTAAGAATTGCATATGTTTCCTTCTTATTGTCCTGATTTAACCTTTTTTGGAATAGAATTATATGTTTTACTCTGATATCAAAACTTTTCTCTTGATTTTCTTTTAAAACTTAAGAAGCAAATGATTTCAGCTTGATATAAAATCTGAAAAGAAAAGTTTTGTCTTGGTTTTTGGTTTGAAACAGTGGCTTTTTTTTAACAGGACTCAAAGGAGGAGCAGATGAAGCTTGATTTAAAAGAGTGAGATTATGTTTAGTTTTTATTTTAAATGTTTAGTGCATTTTTGACAATTTCTCAGGTGACAAAGATGTTCTGCTCCTGGCAGGAAATGATAAATGACTGTAATGTCTGAACACAGGTACATTTCTGCTCTGAAAAGCCTTAAGATGAGGGAAGATGATGTGGTCAAAGTGGTGAAAGATCGCATCTTCTCTGCAGCCTTCCATCCTTGCAGCAGCAGTCTGTTGCTCGCTGCTGGAGACAAGTGGGGAAAAATAGGACTGTGGAATATGGTAAGTTGCCCTTTTGCCTTGGTAAGACGAAGATTTGCAAATGTTTTCTCACCCCTTTAACATTTTGTGAACTTAAATTTTTATGTGTCATAATTTGAAATAAAAGCTGGACTTGCAGCTTTCTTTCAACAACAATTTTCTTCTTGCCAATTTCCCACAAAATCCAGACTTACTACTTGCAGGACTAATTTTAGTACCTACATATTCTCCCAGCTTAGTGGTTGATCATTGCAGCTCCCTATGATTTACCTGAGGTCCTTTGGCTAGTTGTGTGTTTTTTTTTTTTGTTTTTTTTTTTTTTTTTTTTTTAGGCCTTTAAAAAAATGTTTTTTTTTTTTTTTT